ACACACACACACACACACACACACACACACACACACACACACACACACACACACACACTAGCCTTTTTCTGACATGTCATACGTAATGTTTCTGGCTAAAGCATCTTCCCGGCATGGCAGCAAGGGATTGGTGGATGCAGGTCCAGTGGGTCAGAGCCTCATTTTAAAGTGAAGATTGAATCTGGTGTAAAAATCAATAAAACAAAAGCAAAGTAACATCACATACACAAAACACAGTTCAGACTCACAGACAAGAACTTGAAGTAACGATTTGGTGAGTGACTTCTCTCGGTCAGGACGTTTGGCCCTCTCTGCTTCATGTCCGTCAGCTGACTGTGGGTGTTTCGTGCTCATCTCTCCTAGCATTTATGTCAAGCTGAGGTCCAACATCTTACTGTGTCTTGAGATACAACTCACCCCTCTTTACTGCACGATGGTAACCGCTGATGTCTGTGCATCAGTCTCTTTCATCCTGCACAAATCCGGCCAACGCTTCCAAGTTCATGTCGTTTTTCCTACTGACCACATTCAGCTTCCTGACCATCTCTCCAATGTCCTTCTAGGATGGAGTGTTAGAGTTAAATGGAGTGTTAAAGAAAATATTATTATTGTTTTGAGGAAAAAAAACGATATTTGGACCAAAATATTTGATGTATCTCTAATTCCATCACACCACAGAGACCAAAGCTCAAGCTGCAGGTTTTCACTGTTAAGACGTGCCTGAGGACGCTTGGTCACCACCTTCACTGACCTCCTGCCTCCAGTGGGCTGAAGCTGAATGTACCCAAAACCTTCATGATGCCATTTCAGCCTTCTGCTCTATCAGCCTCTTGCTAAAGTGCTCTGAGCAGTCAGTAAGACGAGAAAAGTACTTTATAAACTTTTTTTAAAGTATTTTATACTATGGAATAAAGCATCAGTGGGGTGAGCTGCTGGAAATAAAAGGACCTCAGAGCTTCAGAGAACCTCAGGTTTGCGGTGCAGCAGTCACTCTCAAACCTGCTGCCTGATATAATCGTTGTTTTCTGATGGCCTCGTTCCCATACACGCACGCATGCGCACGCTCGTGTACGTGCGTACTCCCTCCGAACCAGACGCACCTCACAGTGTGTGTGTGTGTGTGTGTGTGTGTGTGTGTGTGTGTGTGTGTGTGTGTGTGTGTGTGTGTGTGATTCCCAGGCTTCGTGGGAAAGCTCCAGCGGCAGAGGAGGAGGAGGAGAAGCAGGAGAAGGAGGAGAAGGACTCACCGGTCAACAGTCCAGTCTGCAGCCGACACCCAGGCCACCTGTCCCGGACTTCTGGCCGGACACGCACCGCTGAGAGAAACCGGAACCCTGTGAAACTAACGTGACTTTTATTTGGAGAAAACGTTTTTTGTCTCAGGAACCTGACCCCGTGGATTAACCGCACACGCTCTTAGGGCACATTAACACCAGATCATCAGGACCCACCGGGTTTCGATCATTCATTCACTCCGGTCTGATCTCCGGTCAGCAAATTCGCAGGAATAAAAGAAGTCTTTGAAACCTTCGCGTCTCCTCCCGGGACAGACGGCCACATTTCCGCGCCAACAACGCGCTATGAAGCGGCCGTGCGAGGACAGCAGCTCCGCGGAGAGCGAGGTAGAGGAGACCATCGACGTGGGCAGCGAGAACATTTATCCGGGGTGAGATTTCACACACGTTTCTCTTTTACTTATGACAGAAATGAAAACATCGCAGTTCGTTTAGCTTATGTCTTTATATTTCACATCGTTTCAACCTAAATGTTGACGCTCACGGAGCTCTTTATTAGGCCTACTGATGTGTCTAAACAAACATTAATCGCCCTAAAAATAAATGTGAGGAATTTTAGCGGTTCATAAAATGTCACAAAAGATTATTGGCAAACCTTTCATTTCTAATCAGATTTTCCAGTGAATGAGACAAAAATGGAACATAAATAAGACATGTAAATACAGGGACTTTGTGCTTCAAAAATGAGTCAAACAAAAACGTTTGCTAATTCAGCAGATCTCCTAAAAACCGAGATGAGCACAAGCTTTTAATTATCCCTGAAAGAAAAGGCAAAGGAGAATAAACATGATGAAAACTGCGCTCGTTTTTACCGAGTGACGTCACTGAACCTTAAAATCCGCTCAAAGCTGGAAAAAGTTCAAAACAATAAAATTTTACTTTCAGCTAATTTTCCCTCCAAATTACTTTTCATGGTTTGTTTGTTTTGGTTTTGTTCAGTTTTGTATTTCTGAATTTAAAAGTGAATTTAAAGGGCTCGGTTTATTCCACATGTTCTACTATTTATATTTTACTTTATTCCTGCACAGCTGGAGTGGAGCACCCACAATTTCGTTGTACATGTATAATGGAAATAACGGGCTATTCTATTCTATTCTATTCTATTCTATTCTATTCTATTCTATTCTATTCTATGTTCACTGTTGGTGAAATGCTCAAATACTTCAGTAAAATAAAGGTACTGCAGATTCTAAATACACCCTTATAAATACCTTTAAAGTGAACTGGTGCAGTCAAATGCATGCATTTAATAGAAATCCATCAGCGTGTAATCAGCTGCTTTTATCTGCTTTTAATACGATCAGTTTAGTTGAGCGGTTCCCAAGTTAAGGGTTACTCCCCATTCGAAGGATCGCCTGATAAACCTTCGGTGTCAGAAGAAGATGAGAGGAAAGGAAATCAAAACCAGCTTCGTCTCTCCGAAATCTTGTGTAGTAATTTGCAGAGTTTAAAGGAGCTGCTTTTTCACCGGAACAGTTCAAAGACCACTGTATAAAGAAATCACGGCATACATTTTATTAAATGTGTTACAAAATTGTTACAAGACTATTTCTGTAAAACGGAACAATCTTTGTCGTTATTTAAATTTAATTGTCGCAGTATTTATATCTTAAAGGTGGTGAAACGAACAAAGCATGAAATGGAAACAGTGAAGTTAAATACGTCAGACTTACACTCTACACAGCAAAATCTCCAGTGTTAAATTAACACTAGAGAGTGTCTATATGGGTCCACTCCTCTGAGTGTTAAATACAACACTGTTGAGTGTTAAATTAACACTTTTGACAGTGTTATATGTTTAAAAGTAACCTAGTCAGTTTTGAAGATTAACAAAGACTAACACTGAGCAGTTGTGGTTTTCTAACACTGGAAAATAACTCAAAATGTTAGAAATATTCCAGTGTTAGAAAACCAGCACTGCTCAGTGTTAGTCTTTGTTAATCTTCAAAACTGACTAGGTTACTTTTAAACATTTAATAAACATAATTTAACACTCAACAGTGTTGTATTTAACACTCAGAGGAGTGGACCCATATAGACACTCTCCAGTGTTAATTTAACACTGGAGATTTTGCTGTGTAGTAAATGTCTTCTGTAAGAAGTATGCGGTGCTCGTTTATTATATGTTAATATAAAATTGGGCAGTTTAGTCTAATAAAATCTATTATATTTTATCCAAGCATGCAGTGTTATTAATATTCTACACTAAGTGGGATGATCTGCAGAGGAGTGAGTGGATGATGGGTTAGAGATAAGAAATGAAGACAAACACATGATGAAATATAAATAAATATAAAAAATCTGTCACACGGATTTTTGCAGCGTTTACTCTTCTCTCTCTAACCTTCATCTCTCATAAATAAGCAGAGGAATAAACTTTGCAGTCCCGGTGTTCACATGTTTATGTCGACACAGCGGTGCTCAAACTCTGGGGCGGGTCCCCCTGGCGGGGCACAGAGACACTGCAGGGATCTTTGTGCACCACCAGGAAAATTATGCAGAGAGACTGAGGTGATAATTTATGTGTGTGTGTGTGTGGGTGTGTGTAAGGGGGGGGGGGGTCACTGATGATTTCATGACATTATTTTAATAAAATCTAACTTTTTATTTTTAGTTATTCATAAAAAATTTCTTGTGTGCATCATGGGCTTCTTTTCTTCTTCTGAGCATGCCTGAAAAGGTCTGGGAAAACCAAATTCCACAGTTCGTTTATTTTCCACAGACACATGAAAGAATCTTTGGTAAGATGTGGCTCTCCAACCACGACGACGCAAGTGATGGCGAGGAAGAAACGCAGAGGGGTAAGGTCACTGTTTCTGTCAGCGGATGTGTACAGGAGTATCCAACGGTGATGATTTCAACTGATTTTAATATTTTTTCTTAAGATTATCGAGAAGAGACGCAGAGACAGAATCAATAACAGCCTGTCGGAGTTACGGAGACTTGTCCCAACAGCGTTTGAGAAACAGGTACCGACCGACAGTCTCCTGTTTACCTGCTGTGTGCTCAGTGGGTGTGTTTCAATTCAGGGGCTGCATCCTTAGGAGGACCCGGCCCACGTTGACCGCGAAGGCCGTGTTCTCCGAAGACCGAGAAGGCCAGAAGTGTGAGGCTGTGAAATGGGACAGTCTAGCCTTCAGATTTATGTCACCAGCTGTCTCAGTGGAGTTTAATAAACTCAGCCGTCTACTTCTCGCTATCTAAAATATGACAGGTCACTGAAGTCAATTCTCGACCGTCTCATACTTCTGTTTGATCAGTTTTCTGTTTGACGTTTATTCAGCTGTGTGTGAACTATAACTTTAATCTCAGCCAAACAAATTTACTCAGGGACAAATAAAAACCAAAAAAAAGCCAAACAATAACATTTTAAAGTTATCTAAGTGACTTATATATCATGTTTAACCTGAGTAGTGAAAGACCATGCGGGGTCTGAAAACGATGTGCCGGGAGTTTGCTGTTCTTGCCGGGCTCTAGTGAGCCTTCATCACCCAGTCAGCTATCGAGTTGGCGGGTAACAGACTTCTCCGAAAACGACAGAGCACTTTTGGCGATATGTGATGTCTTGATAAACCGAGCAGATATTTGAAGTTTACACACCTACTTTCTCGCCTGAAAATATGTTAAAACTTTATATTGTGACCCAGAAAGAGCAATATTTCAAACTCTTTAGCTGCGCTCCTCCACCATTGCCGCATTTGACAAGAATTTTATATCATTATGAAAATACTGGTATTGAAAAGAGTAATAAGAGTAATATTACAACTAAGTAGCTGCCGCCATTGTTGGAAACTGGAAATGGCTGGGCCACACTATGAATTCTGGGATAGGTTGGGCCACTAAGGATACATCGACCCATCTTTCAAATTCGGGGAAAAGAAGGACGCATTTGTCAGCCTAATTTGGAGCAGCCTTCTAATAGGGACATCCTTTGTCACGTCGCTTTGACGTAATCAGCCTTCAAATGCGGCCTCCGAAGGATGCAGTCCCTGAATTGAGACACAGCCACGTGTCTGTGCAGCGCTTCCACTCCACTCCAAAATACATTTGAGTGTCATCTGCAAAGAAATGTTTTCTTATATGGGAAATTTCAAGATTTGACCTTAGAAGTAGCAGACAGATGGATTAATAAATCATGAGGTCTAAAACTAAACACTAGACAGGTGAAGTAGGCAGTGAGGAGTTTCACGTACATGCGAGAAGAAACCTGAAATAATCAGCGTAGTTGTCTTGAAAACATTTATCGCAGCGTGCATGTGGGCTTGTTTACAAATTGTTGCTCAGTGCATTAAACTATCGCAGTCTTAATGGATTTTACAAACACACAGATATAATCTACAGCAGTTTGTATTTTTAGATTACTAAGCATTAATCACTTGGATGTTACGCTCCAAGTGGAAGATTTTACAGATGATGCATTACATGAGTTTTCTTTGCTTAGCAGTTACATTTTAATCTGACTTTTGATCAGAAGCTTTTGTGCATGGACAGCTGCAATAAACTCACTCCAAGTGTGCTGCAAACATGGTTTTTATTTCATGTAAAACTTCAGTACTTGGTGAAAGTGGATCAACCCGCAGGCCTGGTTTGGAGTCACCCTCAAAAGATGATGTTTTACTGGAATCGGTGTGAATTTTATCTGTCGTCCCTCTCTGTCAGAGTTCAGCTAAACTGGAGAAGGCAGAAATCCTCCAGATGACTGTGGATCACCTGAAGATGCTGCAGGCCACAGGAGGAAAAGGTACCCACATTACTCCATACTACCACAATATGATTTTCTACGCTATGGTAACAACAGCTGATTGGTAGCTAGGCCATGACTGATCAGGGTTTGGATTTTGTTCTGCTGACCTCGCATAAAAACAGAGTTTGGGTATGTACTGGGAGGTCGTCAGTGTGGAAGTGATGCACAGTCAGGTTTTGGAATATTCTAAGTTAAGTAGGCAGAAAGTGACTGAATGTACGTCAGTGTGATGTCCTCTGAAGTGATACAAACAGGACTGTGTGTGTGTGTGTGTGTGTTATTGACAGAGAGAGAGAGAGAGGGCGGTGGTGAGTCCATGGGAAAACGCTGCAGGGATAAAAGTAGTACTTGACCCTGAGCAGCGCTGTTTGCTTTCATAAAGCGGATTGGTGGAGGTGGGGGGCGGGCAGTGTTGGCTGCGTTCACAGGCGGTCTGTGCAGCATTTGTTTGGGTTTACAGCAGCAGAGACGGAGCTGAGAGTACGTCTGGCTCTCACAAACTGAAATCTTAGTGCAAACGTTTCTCTGGAAGTGTTTGGGAAGCAATGACGGCCGTTTGTCACACACAGTGAAGCTGAGCGTCACTTGAAAGTGTTGAATATTGTCACTCCACAGGCTTACATCACTTCCAATCTTCACTCCACTGCAGACCTTTTCAGTAATGAGATACGTCACATTGTTTAAAAAAAAAACAAAAAACGTGTCGGGTTTCTGGGATTCAGACTCAGGCCACTTTTGTTTTAATGCTCCTCAGAGCTTCAGACAAACATAAATGAACCAAGCCACAGTAAACGCAAAACTTATGCACAGTACTTTTTATGTTACATCTGAAGGGATCAGGCCTGCCTCCATGGTCAACATTTTTTTAAAGAAATTTAGGCATCTCTGCTGTACTGCATGCTTCAAAGTGTGCAGCGCTGATTTTGGAAAGTGCCTGCAGCCAGTTACCTTCCAGTCCGCTCCTGAAGCACAGCCGGGGCAAATAGAAGACGAGACTTTATTTTCCTGAATTACTGCAAAAACAAAGAAACAAAATACAGCTCAGGCATAAAGACGTCTACAAATAAATCAATAAATAAGAAAAAATGAGGCGGAAAAGTCAAACAAAAAGAGGGAGCATGGCAGGGAATACAGGGGAAGGACTATTTATACACACTAGCCTGAACATCCAGCAGCAGTGCAACAAGACAAAAGTAAAAGCAGTCACACACACGGGAGCAAAGGTAACACAAGACATGAACAAGAAATAACCAAAGGAAACTGAAACAGACACAAGAAGACCCGCAGTGAACACGGAGACAGAAACAGAAAAACAGGACTGACAACCTTAACATCATCATTAGACTCCAAAGAGAATGGAAACAGAGGACCGAGACAGAGAAGAACACGAAAACTCAGATTATTGGTTAATCCAGAGCACAGGTGTTGAACTCCAGGCCTCGAGGGCTGGTGTCCTGCAGGTTTTAGACACGTCCAGCTGATTTAAATGGCTAAATTACCTCCTCAACATGTCTTGAAGTTCTCCAAAGGCCTGGTGATGAACTAATCATTTGATTCAGGTGTGTTGACCCAGGGTGAGATCTAAAACCTGCAGGACACCAGCCCTCGAGGCCTGGAGTTTGACACCCCAGATCCAGAGGTTCCCAAAGAGGGACAAACAGTATCCCACATTGTGGAATTTTAGTTCACAAACACTTCTTATAATGACTAACTACTCCTGACATTTTGGAGATGTTAGCTCTTTAAACAGTAAAGTTACGGTGGGATACAAATAATATTAGGGTGATCCTGCCACGACTTGTTCCCCCGGTTCAAATCACAGACAAACAGTATCCCACAGCTGTTTATGTTTTTGCACAGAGAGGCATTTTTTGAAAAATGTATTGATAGCGATGTTGAATATTATTACACAGGAAAAAAACAACTACTCATAAAATAATTACACCATGACGCCTCTGCCTTTCTAAATAGAGGGACAGTAACTGCGTGTGTATATGTAAGCGTGTAAAAATTGCAGATAGTCAGAGTAACAGTAACAGTATTTTATCTCTATCCGCCATTGTAGAAATTCATCTCATGTAAACAATAACGTGGCGCACAGCGTGACGTGAAAACGGGCACATACCTTTGACGTTGCGTGACGAACTCTGTATTCCTGGTCCACAGTTAAACGCAAAACGCAAAAATCCAAGGGCCAAACGCATAGAAACGGCTGCGTTTTCAAAAATACCTGTGTAGGTGTGGACGAGGCGTAAAAGAGTCAGTAGTTTATTTTATTGCTACCTGTAATTTCTTGCAGTTTACTTTTATTTGTTTAATTGTTTACTAAATGTTTGAGGTATGAAATGAACCGCACGGGATTTTGAAAACAAAATATGTCTGTTGTGGTTGGAGGCTGTGATTGTGCGGGGGGGGGTTATTCTGTGCGGTCACACACATGCTCAATGAAGACATGAGCAGACTTTTATTTCATAGACATTTTAATGTGTAACTGATGTCAGCACTGCTCTGTGTGTCCCAACATGACACACAGGCACAGTGTTTGCATCACCTGCTCAGGTGATCGACTCTTCTTTGTTGTCTTCTACTCTTTTTAAAAAAATTATTATTCTAATTTTACTGGCCAATTAACAAACCAGTTTACAGGTGCATAAATAGGAGACTGATCAGACACTGAACCCTGAACCTTCAGCTTCACCTGTGCTCACCTGTCCTCCCACAGCTGAGCTTAAACCAACACCCCGTCACCCCAAAGTGACTGAGGGAAACCTGTTTAGTGTTTCTGGTGACGTTTGTGTTTCTGGTGGAGTTTGTGTTTCTGGTGGAGTTTGTAATGACTGGCTGCCCTCATAATTTTTCAATTTGATTTAGAATCTGATTTTAAGCCCCGCCTCCCTCCATGATGTTAACCCCACCCTTTTCTGCCTGCAGGTTATTTCGACGCCCACGCTCTCGCCCTGGACTTCCTGTCTCTGGGCTTCAGGGAGTGCGTGACTGAGGTTTCCCGCTACCTGAGCGCTGTGGAGGGGCTCGACTCCGGCGACCCACTGCGCTCCCGTCTTCTCTCCCACCTTGCCTCCTGTGCCTCCCAGCGTGACGCCGCCGCCCTTACAACTGCCTCCCATTCGTCACACCACCCCCAGCAGCCCCACCCCCTGCCTCACCCGTTCCACCACCCGCACCATTGGGCGGCTGCTTTGGCCGCCTTTCGTCCTTTGCCCTACAGACTTAGCGGGCTGGTTTCTCCAGACGTTGGAGGGGGCGGAGGCTCCCAGCGCGGTGTTGTCTCCTCCTCCTTTTCTTCCCATGCAGACTCCACCTCCTCCTCGCCTTCTTCCTCCTCTTCCTCATCCCTCTTGCTCCCCTGCACCCCCACCCCTCTCTCCGCCTCCCTGCTTTCCCTCTCAGCGTCGTTTCCCATCGCCCTCCACGGAGGCATTCCCATCCTCCCTCACTCCTCCTTCACCTCCTCTGCTGCCAGTCCCCCCGTCTCCTCTTCCTCGCAGACTCCACACAGCAGCAGCGGTAAACCCTACAGGCCGTGGGGAACCGAGGTCGGAGCTTTCTGACTGTGTGCTGCTCACTAACCTCTGCTGACAGTTTAACAGCCTGGAAATGTTTGAGCTCCACGGCTGGTGTTAGCATCTCGTTATTAACTTCTTGGGGATGTTTGTGACTGACTTCCACCTGCTGCTTTCACACACTGGCTCGATTCAGAACAGGAACGTGTGGTTTGTCTCCTCTGAGCATAGTTTTCATGTTTCAGCTGCTTCAAACTCACAAAAACTTTGTTGTTTAACCGAGATAAGTCAGGTTAAATATTGTTTATTACTAATTTACCTCAATCCCACATATACAATGCTACTTGCCCAAATGCTCACTAAAAGGTGAGATGTGAATGAGTCTGCCACTGAAAATAGGTCCCAACAGATGCCCAGTTTCCTCCTGTTTGTTAAAAACTAGCTTATTGTTCCAGTTTTTAAAACTGAGAAGCTACCGACAAGACGCCAGGTAATGCTGCTTATCACATCCCATTGCACCGCCACACACCAGGTGTTTTTTCACTTTGATGCACCTGCTGTGCGGTCCACATCAGGGGGCAGCAGGGCCGGGGTAGGCACTGGTCTCATGTGTCAGGTTTAACAGCCATCAGGCTGTGGTTGGTGTTTCTACTTCTGCTTCCTGTATTTAAAATACAGCCCTTCACAAACCCTGTACGCTGAAAAACGGCTGTCAGTGTGAGGGACACATAACCAAGCCACACCACCAGCTTACTGTGCACCCGGCCGGGACGCTTGAGTTTGACTCTTTGACTCTCTCAGCTGCAGTTTGATGATGTTAAAGAAATCTGTCCACACAGGTATGAAGCTCCATCTACAGGTGATTAACCACAGACTCCAGCACACCAGCGTCTTTTAAAGCAAACCTGACACAAACTCACGTTCACGTTTAACCTGACTAACACAAACAGACTTCTGTCGTATTTGATCGTTTTGATGGAGAATCTATGAAGTGACAGAAAAGTGTTCCCCAGCAGACTTCAGAAAGCTCAATATTAAATAAATAATATTGCTATTTGATTATATGAAATCTTCTTTAAAGGTTAAAAAAGGTGAACTGTCACTGAACTTTGAGCCAAATGTCTCTGATACCTTGTGTGCCTTGTACAAATAAAGACGACTAAACAGATTGCTGCTGTAGTGAAAGCTCGAGTCGTGACGTCTTTTTCTTATTTTACTTATTTATTTTTTTTATATCTATAATTAAATTGTGAACCGGGCTCTTTACCTGTTGCTCTACTGCAACCCGAAACAGCAGCTCTGCCGCTGTTTTTGACTCTGACGTGTCAGGCAGCGTTGAAGTCTGTAAAATGATTTTTCTGCTTCATAAAAGGTGTTTTTTTGTGTACTGACAAGCGTCTCCAATATTTTTCCACCATCATGTGTGTTAATATGGTGGACAGAATATTCAGAAATGTGTTTGCAGTAAAGAGTTTATGACTATTTTTTAACAAAAAAATAAGAAACAACTCTCAGCAGTTACTGAGGGTTAGTGTTCAGAGAGAGATCTCAGGTAAGGCATGAGATCTCTCACAATGTAAATGCCACCTCATAACGTCATAATTACCACAGTAATGAGGTGGCAATTACATGCATGTTTCATCATTGTGTTTCACTGAACCATAAAGAGACTTACTGACAATAAAAAGACCAGACAAAATTAAAAACGATCACAAAATGTAAAAAAGTAACAGAAAAATGTCCTTAAATAGACACAATGACAAACACGTAAGCTACCATGAGAGAAATAATATCCTTAGTTATTTGACAGGAAAAGGCACAAAGACAAAAGAAAATGACCACAAAAAGACACAATGACTATAAAATGACCAGAAAGTAGCAAAAACAATACAAAAAGACGCTTTAAAAATTCCAGAAACAAATCAAAAAAATTGGCCATAAAGGGCAAAGTACAAAGAGACAGAGCTGCAAATATACACCAGAAAAACAGCAAAATGACAGAAAAATGCAACGACAAAAACAACACTTTTACCAGGAGTCACAAAATGATGGTAACCAAAACAAAGAGAAAATTACTCCTTTCACAACATGAGATGAAAAAGTTCAGAGAAACCAGAAAGACACGAGGAAAGGACCGTAACAAAACAATCCTGAGACAAAGTGACATGAATACAAAGACGCACAAAAATGAGACAGACTATCTTCCATGTGTGAGACCAGGTGAGGTGACTTCACCTATTCAGTCAGGTCACGTGATCTTCCTCAGGGCTGGACAAAACAGCAGGTCGTCCACCACAAGGCAAACGTTTTTACCTCAGTATGATGGCATGTGTGACCAACCACACTGTACACACATGCACGCACACACACACACATACTTGTCTTTGCCTTCGTCTTGTGGCTCAATCGCCGTTACAGCCGGTAAATCCTCCCAGAGCACAAAACAGTGTCACTTCCAGCTCAGTGGAGGATTAAAGTCCGACAGCCCTGGGAACGACGCTGCGGGCCGTAAATCTGCTCCGGTCAGCCGACACGGTTCTCACGCTGCGACGCGGCTTTGAATCAAGCGGCAGTAAATTAGGTGACATGATTCATGCTTTATATCCTCACAGAGGGAGAGGACGGATTACAGCGAGGAGGACGTGAGCTGGGCACTGTAGTGAGTACTTACAAACTGATGACACATTTTCATCTCTTAAATTCATCAGATTCCATTTACTGCTCGGCTGTTTGACTTCAGTTAAAAGTGCAAATACCTCACAATAAAAATACTCCATTACAAGTAAAAGTACTGATAACTGTATAAAATACACAGTGACAGTTTCGGAAGTCTCAAGCTGAACATGGTCGCCGTCTACCTTCTTTAAACCCTCCCTCAGATCAGAGATGAGACCTGTTTGCTGACGCAGGAGTCGCCCTCTGCTGGCCAAGACAAAGAACACAGGTTTAAGGTGCTTCAGCCTTATTTTTCAGAGCAGGAAATCTTCCATCTTTTATATACAGACAGTGTGTGCTGCAAGCATAATTCTGAAAACTGAATTTGTGCAAAAACAAGTAATTTGATCAGAAATAAATACAGTAAGCAGGATGTCCATGCGCGTGCAGCTCTGTGCACTCATACAGATGTCTGACATGAAAAAACACAGCTTAATATATGTATATCACTCTTACTACATACCATTTCAAATAAATGTCATGAAGTAAAAAGTATGACAGTTACACCCAACATATAGTGGAATTGAAGTAGAAAGCAGCATGACATAGAAACACTCAAAGTCAAGTGAGTTTATTTCTATGGCACATTTAAAAACAGCTGTTCAGCGAAGTGCTGCACATCTGGAATAATGAAAAAAACAGCACAAACAGTGAGCAGGTTTGACCATCTGTGCTTTTATCCATTTAAAGCGTAAATGTGCCACATTACTTTATTATATCCTTTATTGTTAATATGACATAACGTTCATAACGTACAGTCCTCCTCTGTTTCAGTGATGCGACTCTAAGACGACATGAGGGAGAACGTGTTGTTTGGACTTAAGATCTCGATCCTGAACAAAGGCCAGACCCTTCCTTCTACCTGCAACAGCAGAAACAGACTGTCATCAGTGAAGTTAAAGGATAGAAGCTGACTTCCATCCACTCCTTGCAAAGTACAGGCCTCAACTCAAACAGGCGACCTGACCAGCTGTGTCTGTGCGCCCCCTGCTGGTACAGATGTGTCAGCAGCAGAGCGCAAACGAGGTTCTTCAAGACTGAGGAAGATTTTTTTACTTTTTCAAACTTCACAATGTTTAATCTAATCACCAGTCACAGAGGCTCAAAAGCTTTTTCAGTTTAAAAAAATCAGTTAATGAAAGGCCACCTGCAGGACAGGTAGGGGCTGATTGATGAACAATGGAGTTTGGCTTCACTATGGTGGTGTTTTGAGGCTGGACCGCTGACTGAAAAACTCACCTGTCTCTGGTTTCTTGACAAACCTCACTCCTTGCTCTTCAAATAACTTGCAGGCAGCGTAAACATCAGGAACAGCAATGCCGATGTGACCTGCGTGGAAGCAGGACAGCAGTGACAACCACAACAAGTCAAGCATTGAGAAGCAAACGAAACGGTCTGAACATTGAACAAACAAGTTCTCACCAAATCCTCACGGCTCATTGTTCCCGTTGTGGTACGACAGATCTGCATCAGACTTATTTATTATAAATAATACTCATATCGAGTTTAACTGTTGAACTGGTTGTTTCCATACGTACTGCGTGAGCTCCAGGGTGGCTCTGCGGGAAAATGTCCACACTGTCCTCTCCTTGACATCTGCCGGGGTGTCCGCCTTGTCCTCGTAACCCAGGGAGTAGAAGGTGAAGGCAGAGCAGCACGGGAGAAGTTTGGGATCAGACTGAGGAATTACATCATGCCCAGGATTCGAGTGTAGAAGTCCAGCGAGCGAGCCGGATCTTTGACCCTCAGCATCGTCTGCTGCAGCATGTAGTCCTGCAGAGAGCAGGTGGGGGAGACCAAAGCAGAGCTGAAAGAAGGGTAAACACTGGACTCCTCTGTGCCTGTGCACTTCAAAATAAGAGCAGGAAACACAAACCAGAATCCTTCACATGAAATTTGTCATTTCGTGTCATCCAGACGTCGTTTTATGTCACTTTGTATCACTTTTGTGTGTTTCAGTGTAACACATAGGAGGACACGGAAAATGAACTTTAACATGAATGCAGTGAGATTCAGGATAACACGACGGGCGAGTCAGGAGCAGCGCCCTGACTCGCTCTGACCAATTCAGTTCAATTCAATTTTTATTTAGCAGCGCCAAATCACAACAACAGTCAACTTATATTGTAAGGTAGACCCATACATATGAGACAGAGACTGCAGCGTGTTGTGCGCTCTGCTGAGAAGGTGATCGGCTGCAAACTCCCATCTCTCCAGGACCTGTACACCTCCAGGACACTGCGGCGTGCAGCTCGGATCTCAGCTGACCCTTCTCACCCTGGACACAGTCTGTTTGACCTGCTCCC